TCAGTATGTAAATTAGGTACCGTAAGTCTAATACAGTACTGTAATTTTATACATTTCTTGTGAAAGAAACATTTCTTATTCAACGGCGATTAAAATTATTTATATTAATGATGTCTCCAAAGTTCAACGAAGTTTTCGCAGAAAAATAACATCTGAAATCGCGGCCGCGGTTTGCTGCGCTGTTCCGCGACGTAAACAAGCTTGAGCAACGGCGATGTCGAATGGTGCACACTCGGTAAGTAATCCTACAATTTTTTGTTTACAGCGTAGTTTATACGGATTATTTCCAAAAAAAAAAAAAAATATATGTATTTTGGAAATGTTAAGTCGAATTAGTTTAGAATCGATTAATTTTATGGAAGAAAACCTTTCAAACAGCCGTAGTCCGTAAACTTCACACGTGTCAAATACGTGAGCCAATCACAGTCCAAGGATTCCTACAACGCAAAATTCGTATAACAAAGAACGTATCTTCGCGTTATAGGGGGTCTACTGTACTTAGATGTATTAAATTGATAACATTTCAGACATTGTTATAAATATTTTCATATATTTCGAATTTTTAACCGAATGTTCGAACCGTTTTAAATTCCAATTTGTTATTGCATATTGGTTCGATTATGGAATGATTGTAAACGTTCCAGAAAATTGATCAAATTGAAAACAGTTTGATGTTCGGCAATTCTCATCATTCTCAGTGATAGGTGTTATATATTAATTACTATAGTTGTTAAATAACTGAATATTAATGGGGTTTGCTTGCACAATCGTCGCAGGTAACAGCTAGTAATAATAATAAAATATTTAGAATTATTCACTTTTTATTTCGGTTTATTAAAACTAACAGCTGTTGATTATTAAAAAAATAAATTGTAATATAATTTCGTTCTACATCATCATCATGTACAAAGTTTAAGAACAAAATTTATCGAAAATTTCTTAGGACACAATATTGTGATTAAGCAATTGACTACCTGTTTCTGGTGCGGAATAGTTTCGGTAATTAATCTCTCGGGTGTTGAACGTATACGTTGTTCTCTTTATGCAGCTTATTTGACGAAAAAAATCTAAGAAAGATTTAAGTAACTTTCCTGACTGTTATATATATATATATATATATATATTTACACGTTTAAGTCATTTTCAGAAGGTATAACATGTGTTAAACAACCGTATATCCTCGTAATGTATCTATGAAAATACTTGTTATATTTGTAAAATTATAAGAAATATCTGAACTCTAATCCCATTGGCTCTGAAATATTTGAAAATTAGAATAAATTCTATAAACATAAGGAAACAGTCTTCTAAGTGTAACTTTTTAACAGGTGCAGAAATAAAGGATCAGTTCATTGAAAGATTTATATCACACGTAAGAATAAATAATGTATAGAAAGTACCTTACTTGGGTTGTGTTGTTAACTCTTTGCAAGACAATAAAAACAAGGAAAGCAGGCTGTCCTCCAGAGGAAAAGATGCCACGTTGTGTTTGCGACTGGCCTAGAGGAATAATCTGTAACGGTATCATGAGTCATCAAGAATTGAACATAATAATGGATGCTCTTTCTGAATATAAAGTTTCTACACTCAGGTAAATATATACGTGTAAAGTTTATATACAGGAAAACCTGTTTAAAACAAAAAACTTTTTGGTACAACCGATTCCGGCTTACGCAGGTTTTACTGTATAAAGGAATTTTTGAGTTTTTGCATATTATTACGTTGAAATGAAATCTGTGTATCGTAATTTCATTAAGATTGAACAGAGCAATTCTGATGTATCTTCCAAGTGGGATGTTCAAAGAAGTTCCAATTAGAGCATTAGACATTAGAAAAAGTGATGTTCTAGGCACAGAAAGCGAAGATGGATCGGTAATGTTTGAAGGCGCGGAAGATAGTTTACAAGTCATTCGTTTGTTTTCTGTGAAAGGATTGAATTCTTGGAGATGGATCGTACTTTCCACATTGAAAAATCTACAGTTTTTGTATATTTTAAGAGGCGAGTTGGGCTACATCGATAAAGATTTTACAATGGTCGCACCGGAGACATTAACCCAGTTAAGGCTGGAATTTTGTGAAATAAGAAGCCTTGATAAGCACGCATTTTCAAAGCACATAATGTTAAAGGAACTAAGTTTGCAGGACAACGAATTAACGGAAATTAAACGTTCTATGTTCCCATTACCAGCTTCACATTTGATGGATTTGCTTCTTGAGTAAGTATTTTTAAAGTATACATACCTTATATAATAAATTATTACTTAGATAATTGATAATTTTGTTTTAAGAATACATTTCCTAATAAAAACTTAATTTATTTCAACGAAAGATGGCTGTCAAGTACTACAGTAGAGCGTCGTTTATCCGAATCAATTGGGGACTGGGGTTGTTCGGATAACTTATTTTTCGGATAACCAATTATGTACGAAAAAATATATTAATTTATCCCGTGTTGAAATTTTTCTCCGTTGCGTGTCGCTTTGCGTTGAATTTTCGTCGATGTTAAGCCTAACGAAGACTATTGTATCGTTAAAAATTATTTTTTTATTTTGTACAAAC